GGGCAATTAGAGGATCTTACAGGGGGGCGGAGGTGTGCGCGCATGCACACACATGCATGCGCACAACACCAGGCACCATTTTGGAAGACAAAATGACGCCCAAGTAGTGCGCATGCACGCGCGAAGCCGGGTGCCATTTTGTCTTCCAAAATGGCAGCCAGAGTCGGGCACATGCCGGGCGCATGCACATGACTCCGGACGCCATTTTGGAAGACAAAATGGCAGCCAGCAGCCGGCGTGAGCGGCGGAAGTGGCGGGCCAGTAGGAAGGCCTCGGCGGGCCGGGTACGGCCCGCAGGCCATAGTTTGGGGACCCCTGATCTAGATCTATGATGGAACAAACTATACAATAATGAGAGGCGTAGTTCAGTCAACTGAAGGCTGAAGAACTGCTATACAATTGTTTGTGACAGACACCCAAGTAAGAAAAAACTGTATTGATTAATCCCAACTAGACTGGGACTGGATTTTTGAAAGAATGAACATACGAACAAACTGCTGCAAGGTAAGTCAACACAGAAGTCAATCCTGCTGATCTGATTATTTGATTTGATGAATCTACTGTGGAGACTAACAGTAGGGTTTAGACTACAACATTCATTTTTTTCCATATATATTTCCTTTATTCTCTTGAAGGAGAAAGAAAATGACATCAAACAATTCTTTTCTTCCTCTTTTTCTAGGGTTTTTTTGTGTCTGTATTTTACTGCTTCTTAAATGGAGAGGTAAGTTGCACTGTCGCACCATACCTGACTGGTCAAAAGCAAATGGGTTTTGGTGAAAACAGAAGAGCTGCTCTTGCTAAAATCATCAGTGCTGTTCAGATGTCTTTATTATCTCCATCACCATAGAAAGATTTGTATCCACTTTACATAAGGGAGACTGAGCTGTGGTCATGATGCCATCACTCATAGTCCAAATTCAGATGTTAGATCCTACTAGACTAGATCCATTGCATCGAAGGAAATGAAATAAGAGGCACAGTGTTGCGCTATCAAGTTCCTATTGATTCAGTGAGCATTCTCTAGGTGGGGTTAACAATTGGATTTCAGCTACAGGGTCATTCTATTTTAGATACATATTTTCCTCCCAGACACTCTATAAGAAAGATACTAACCATGATCCTACATCCCACTTGAGGAATGTGATGAGTTTCTCCCCTCCACCCATGCAAGTAGGAAGGAGTGAGTAATTTTAGCAATTTACTTCCCACTGTGTTGTATTTGAAAACCATACGATTTTTGAAGCCTATTCACAGTTCAGGACTTATTCCATATAAAATTTGCGTGCAGTTGTTTTACAAAGCAAACAGCATTTTCTGCACAGTAGGTAGCATTTTCTGCACAAAAATAATATTCCTGTATAGAAATATTGTTTTCTGTGCCAAAAATCCTGTTTTTTTATGCGTGTCAGCCACATGTGAATTTTGTGCAGAGTAAGTCCACAGTTACAGCATTTTCTGTGCAGGAACCCACAGTTTGAATTTTGTGCACAGTAAGTCCCAAACTGTAAAGGTTCTTATGAGTCCAGGATTCATTCCATCAGGGTTTTTCAACATTTGAAAAATGTGTTTTTCAACATTTTTAAAATACTTAAAATACTTTTGGGGGAAATATGTGTGTGTTTTTCAACCAGTACCTAGGTGCTTCTTGCCTTCTCCCAGCCAGTAAGTTATCATGGGGCACACACCAGCATTGAGAAACTGCTTTGAGCAGTTAGGAAGGCATTGCGGAAGGAGATACCTAATGCCTCCTTTCACAACAACCTCAGATCTGCATGTGTGGATGTAACTTTCGGTTATTCCTGTTTATGTCACCAATAGGATTCTGGGCAATATTTCCAATTTACATAGGGGAGATTAAGGTACAAGATAAATCCCAATCCATTTGAGATAAATTGTTCATAAGTGCATCTTATATTACTTCTATGGAGCACAAGCCAACATGCTAGGAATTCTTCATGTGATCTTCACCACATATCTCTCTAGAGCAGGGATTCTCAAACTCTGGTCTTCCAGATGTTTTGGATTTCAGCTCCCAGAACCCCCAGCCTTCATGGTCAATAGTCTGGGATTCTGAGAGCTGATGTCCAAAATACCGAGAAGGTCAGAGTTTTGGAATCATTGCTCTAGGGCAAGGGCAGGCAAACTGTACCCTTTAAGGTCCGAGGGACTTCAGCTCCCAGAAGCCTCAGCCATGTTGGCCAGTAGTCTGAGATTCTGGAAGCTGAAGTCCCTCACCCCTTAAAGGGGACAGTTTGCCTACCCCTGCTCTAGAGTTTACTGTGTCGACTTTTACTGGTGCAAATAATCCAGCAAAATGCCACAAAACCTGATCTACCCTCCAAAGATATTTACAGTGTATCACAAAATAGATAAGCGCGATTGTGCCAAACACACACCCTGAAACAAACACTTCCATCAGAAAGGAAAACCATTTTGCCAAGATTTCCTGGGTACCTTGAACAACATCAAACCCAAGTCTGTTGCTGTCTACTTTTTGGAAACAACCCTATGATGGTTGTCCTGTCTAATTTCCTTTGCATGTGTGATTTTACTTTTTAGACACTTGTGCAAATGGTGAATTCAGATCTAGGTTGAGTAAGTGAAAGTCCACAAATCTAATCATTTCACAAGCAGTTGTGCTTTCTTGGATAGTATGTTAATAATAATAATAATAATAATAATAATAATAATAATAATAATTTTTTATTTCTAACCCGCCGCTCTGCTCAGCAATCTATTTTTCCATATCTTTGATGTACAGCTTCATTCATTGAAATTGTAGAAACTGCTAATGTGCATTCCTCATTGCACCATAGAGCAATAAGCAGGCATATGCACAGATGCATAATTGGTTACCAGATGTTGATATTCAGCAAAAGGATGCTGTAGAATGACCGCCATACAGCTACCTGAGTGTAGATTTGAATTTCACAAGCACAATGCAAAATCTCAATGCATATTTCATGGGGAATTGGACATTAAGACTCCACCCAGAGTCTCCCTGATAATATGCCACCTACCGTGGAAAATTTTGTAATGTTTTTCCATCTGGTGTACAACAGGGGAAATTGATTTTGTGAGAGGCAATTCCTCTTAATACCACTTGAAAGCTGTTTTCATGCATCCCACCCACCCTGGCCTCACTCACCATTTTCCCATTACAAGCTGTTTTATTTTTCACTTCTCTTCTTTGCAGTCTCTGGCACTCTGGGAAGCACTCCCCTGTCTTCCCTCTCCAAACCACTTCTTATGCTCTCAGCTCTTCTACTCAGTGTAACCATCATACTTTTTTCCTCTGTCCTCTTCCAGCTCCTAGCTGGAGGCCTTTGTGGACTCCCTAATAACCACGCTGCTCATTTCTGCATCTCTTGTATTTCGTTCCACCTTCTTTTGTGAGCTGGCCCGGCCAGCGCAGAATACAACCTCCCAGGAGTTCATACTATGGCACTGATTATAATAATTTTCAAACTCATTTGACTTCTCATTCTGTTTGTGCATTTCCCAGCTTTTCTCCCACCAACACATGTAATGTAGAGATCTTCAGGAAGTTGTTTGTAATGGCCCTCCAGCCTAGCACTTGCAATTCCAATTGTGCATTTTGAAGCCTACAAATGTGGATAGAGAAGCTGATGAATCTACCTCTGTGGGGGAGATACATCCATTCTTGGTTTTACTATCCCTGTTCCTGCTGTTGTTTGACATTCTACTGCTCTCAAACCATTAAAGGGCTAGAATTCCCCACTGGGAGAGCTCCCATACAACT